GATAATAGTTTAGGGAAAGCAGGAGGGGAGTGGGAGCAGGGAGGAGGGGGTCAATGGGGGAACAAGGGGAGACATCTGTAATACTTTCAACAATAAAGATTAAAACTAAGTCATTGTCACATATAGAAACTGTAGGATTTTTTTCTACCAACATATCCTCTGAGTATTTTTGTATATAAAAGGTATTGACATGTACAAGTTAATTTCATATGCCTAATGAGTTCCATAATTTTCTGAGTAAATTTAATCACTAATTCTCTGAGGCAGGGACTATTGGCATTTCAGTCAGGTAATTATTTTGTGTGGGGTTAGGGGGCTATCCTCATATTTGTTGGGTGTTAGCATTCCTGGCTTTTATTCACTCCTCAGCTGTGACAACCAAAAAAAAAAAAAAAATGTCTGCAGATGTTGCTAAATATTTCCTGTTGGAAGGAAGGGCCCCTCCACCTCTTGTTGAAGACCCAGGCAATGCTTTAAGTGTCTTGTGAATGATTCTCACTGAATCAGTTATATCAAGTCTACTACTTTACATGCCAATGCTTGCAACATATTCCCAGGAAAATGATCCTCATACCTATCTTACAGGGTTGGGTCCCATTCTTTGAGGTGGTAAAGTGGACACTTCCTGGCAGGCCAAGAACCATGGTAAATTTGGGGGAATTTGAAGAGAGAAAAAAACCCTGAAATTTATAGGGGCTTCAAGTGAAATATGGCGAAGTTACTTTCTTGGGCTTGGTTTTCTATCCTTACAGGAGCAAATAATAGAAGACACTTTAAATGGTCTAATACAAGATTCATTATGACAACTTCCTGGCAGATTTCATCATCAGGGATTAGGAGTTGCTCAATATTGTATTACTGTAGATTTGAAAAGCAACGTCAAGAATGTCTATATTATTAATAAAGACTGTTATATTAGATAAAAGTAATTTATACATTACTTATGTAAATAATTATGCCAGATCAAATGAGAACAGGTATTTTGTGAGATTATTTATAACCACAATGGAGGAGACCTTGAAAATGTATCCAAAATTTGGGTGTTCTTTTAGTGCAGTGCTGGATATTATAATATTGATTGACTGTCTATTGGCTGGGCTCTTTTACAATTCTGTAGGGGTAGAGGTTACTTTAAAGAAAATTGGTAGAAATGAAAATAATTCTTGTCAGAGAAATACAAATTATTCCTATCTATGTCAATGAAAGTGAAGTGTGTGTGGTATAGAAAGTACATAGGCAATTGATTTACATCACGTAGAAAAAATAACCCCAAATGTTACAGTTCATTGCTTTCTGGGCTACTAACCATTTTTGTATCTATTAACAAATTCATTTAAATATATCTTTGCATGACTACATAAATCCCTGTTCATCAATTTCTCCTTCCAACTTTATTGGTTCCCTCATTAGTTAACGAGTTGAATAAATGGCTGACATGCTCTAACCAATTAAATTTTCAAGTCCTTTGGTTTTATCTGTTCACTAAGGTTTAAACTCTATTTGATGAACTGGAAAATTATGTTCATATACACACTGGTTTATTAGTTCTATTTTAATGGTGACAGAGTTTTCTTCCCCCAAAACTGGGTGCTAGAAACTGCAGTAGTACTTGAGATTAAGAGGCAAGCAAGACATACATGGTACTGGAGAACATGGCAATGAAACAATCAATGATGACAAAATGGAAAAAGTGCTCATTAATATGGTTTTTTGTAGTCTCTGCTCAGCACATAGCAGGAGAAACTCACCTGAGTATGAAGGTCCAGAGGAAGTCTCTTAAAGTAATATATAGCCTTAAAGATTTCTGGCTTGGTAAAAATTGAGAGAGGGTGGTGCCATTCACTGTGTTAGACAACACTAGAGGAGTGTACATTTTCAGAATAGGGGGAAGATGAGTTCATTGTGGAGATGTGAGTATGAGTTGCTCGTGGGACCAACAGTTGTCAAGAAAACCTGTAGCTTAAGAAGCCTGAGCTGAAAATATGGTTAGAGATTCATCAGCATATGGTTTTATCAACAATTACTCCTGGTGTGACATTGGAGATCATAATTTACTTACATGCGGTTGTTTCTTCATCTGTAAATAAGAATAATGAAAATTTGGAATAATTACTAATTTCTCCCTTTAGAATATGAGTATATTTACTATTTTCCATAACCACAAAGGGCTATTCTGTTATCGATGTCCTCTTGAATAAGGGGAACCTCTCCACTTACACATGCTTCCATTTGGTTAGACATAAAGATGCTTTGGACATTTTTATCTTGTACATGTATTACCTATGAAAAATCATAAGTATTTAAGCAATTTCACATTAACAGGCATTTATTCTTACATATGTGTTCTGTAATATAATAAATGCACATGACTGTAATAAAAATAAACTTATCAGACTGCCACATAGAGAAGCCCATCTCCTTTCAGTTTTTCTATTCCCATCTCCTGAGCCTGGGGCTGGGGAATTTAGGGCCCACTTTCTCTAACAGGACCCTTCTCTGTGAAGTCATCCCCATTGTCCAGAAACTCTTCTTTCTTCCTCAGGAATGACTTTTCAGCCAATCCCACCTGCTGAGAGGGAGAGCCCTTCTCATTCTGTTGCCACTTTCATGTGCTGGTATGTCATATTTCAGATGCTCAACCACTTTTCTTCTCAGAATACAGTTTTATTTTGTGTTTCCCAGAGAAGCTCACTTCCCCTTCCACACCCCCACCCTTTTTTCCTCCAGCTTCCACCACCCCATGCCTGAAGGATGAAAATTATGGTTCAGTGTTTTGTTTTTTTTTTGTTCTCACCCGAGGACATTTTTGCATTTATCTTCAGATAGAGTGGGAGGGAGAGAGGGAGGGAGGGAGAGAGGAAGAGAGCGAGAGAAACATTGATGTGAGAGAGACACATTGACTGGCTGCCACCCACACGACCCCAACCTGGGCCAGGGACAAACTGCAACCGAGGTACGTGCCCTTAGCAGGAACCAAACCCGGGTCTCTCTGGTCCGTGGGCCGATGCTCTAACTGCTGAGCCAAACCAGCCAGGGCACAGTTCAGTTTTTCAAGTAAGGCCTTAACTGGTGACTCAAGATCAGTGCCTCACAACTCCTTTATCCTCCCTGTGTTATTTAAGGAAATCTAGGACTCCTAGTGGAGTGCTTCTCTCACATACCTTAATCTCTGATCTCTGGAGTTGATGTGGACAGATAATTTGAAGTAGCCCTTAGAATGAGGGCCTGAGAGAGGTAAAGACAGAGATAAAGATGAATATGGACAAAGAGAGAGAGACACACAGAGAGAAAAAAAGAAAATATCTCCTAGAAGCAGGTAAGGCATATGAGTTAATGTTTCTAAAATTCCATGATAGAATATGATCTTTCCCTTTTACTAACCTTAAACTGCACAGTAATATAATTTTTATTCACAATCGGTGCATGTAATATTTCTTTTCTCAAATTGGAAAATTTTCTTATTAACGGACACATAAGATCTTTAAATCTTCTATTGGTGGTGGCAAGCATAGACACCTATTGGCTAGGAAAATTGTTACAAATTGTTCATAAATGGTTTGGGGTTTTTGTTGTTTTTTGTCATCATACCACCCAATTTACTTCTAACTCCATGAGAAAAAAATAAGGTAATTGAAGTGCTTCTATGAAAACCGTTGATCCACCTGTTAAAATAATCAGAAACCCTGTTTCTGGAATATGCAGGGTGTATGTAAGGCCAATCATCAGGTGATATGTGATTAGTGAAAACTGAAAGTCTTTTGGTATTTCCTATATTAGTATACTATATTAGTCAATTATTTTCAACATTTCCAGATAATGAGTGGTGTCTCGGTTTAATTTACTAAAGTGGATCAGATCTGTGATTAATAATTTGCATTACTGGGATAATTTCTCTATGTAAAATACTCTTATTATGAAGTAGAGTCCGGTTGTTGTTGCAAAGTTGATTGTTAATGGCCTTGCTTGGATGAACTAGTCATGTACCAGCATTAGAGAAAAAAAAAAAATTTCCACATGGTAATAAGCAGAATATGTAAGAACTCTCCTCATACATAGTGCACATAAATGTGAGAAATCAAAGGTTATTTTCCAGGCATGTTAATTCCTGGAGTTTAATAAAAATTCCATGTACTACCATAATTTAAAAGCTTTTTGGAAAAAGTTTTGGTTTTCCGGGTATTATTTGCACATTGACTAAGTTTCAGGTTGTATTTGAATATGAAAGAGATAGTTTAATACACAAAATTGCAATAATATATTTTTCTTTAGCCAGAATAAGGGGGAAATATTAATGACAAACATTGACATGTTCCCTTTATTGAACAAAAAGGCTTGTTATAAGCCCAAATGAGTCTCTACTTATATTTAATAGAGTTAAAAAACTTATGGAGAATTCTAGTTTCTGCTTAGGATTTTAAAATCTGGAAAAAAAACATACTCCTATGCTAACAGAAAGAAAATGCCACATAATGTACAAAAATCCTAACTCTTCTTAAACCCCTCATAGAGCTTACTTTTCAAGGTGACTTATTAGCCTGAAATCTAAGGAAAGAAAGTCACCTCATGGGGAGTCAAGACAAGAATGATGGGCCAGAGCTAGGAAAAGTATAGGGCCATCAAACAAGTGGGCGAGAAGACTTCAGTTAACATTTTAACAAGCTGATAAGGGCCCAGTGTGGACTAGCATGAGATATGGAACTCTTGAGAGTGACAGTTACAAGGGGATATTGCATCTTCCTGCAGGTTCTTCTGAATATACTTTTGGTGAGTACTCATGAGAAAGATGGGGGAATAGGGAATTAATAAATATTATTTGTCAAGGTTTCAGGATAGATCATCGATATCCAAAAAATGCACCTTTATATATCAGACCAACAATATAAAATTTCAGAAAAAGACGAAATTTATGATAGCATCGAATATCTAGAAATAAGTTTAACAAAAGACAACCAAGAATTCTTTTGAGAAAGTTGTCAAACTTTATTTAGAGAATTTAAACAGTCAAATTTCCAAAATAAGGACAGCATGTATGGTGCATGGCTTCTGCTTGTCTTCATTTAAAGGTATGGTTGCCCCTCACCTATGATGTAAACATAAGAGTTGAGAACATTACTTAGCAGAGTTTTATTTACATGACATTATAGATATACAAAGGACACTACAGTATGGATTTTATTAGTGGACTAAAACTGGAATTATAAGGATGATCCTTTGGCCTACCTATACTTAAACCTCTGTAGAGACTCTGGAGGTAGACATTAAGAGATATTAACATATTTTTAAAAACATATCACTGTTTCTAGTGGTATGTGACACAAAGAGGCTTTGGAACAGATTAAAATCAAAGGAACCTATTTAAAGTGAGTTTTAAGCAGAAAGTAAAAATCCTGTAACTTTTAGTAAAAATGCAAGTAAAGCGAACACCTAGCAAACAAAATAATAATTTTAAAGTATCATTTTAGATGTTTTGACTTGAAATAATACTCTGAAAAAACAATAGGTAAAATAATATCATACTTGGAACTGCTTAGGTGAAGTAAATAAAAAAGCCAGTTTTACATTTCTTTTCTCTGTATTGTGGAAAAGTGAAAAAATGCTTCTTTGAACTAGTTCAGGTTTTATGTGTTTGTTTTATGTGTTTAATTAGCATAATAATTTGTCCTTTTTTCACTCAAACCCCTGGTTTAATTATAAATAATGCCTCTTTATGCAATTAAAAGTGCTTCAGATCGCAAAATAAATTCTATGGCCACATTAGTTTCAAACCATATTATTATAGGAGAAAACAAAATATGAAGGAAAGTACTACCATTTTTTTGAGATCTGGCAAGAAAGGGGGGGTGAGGGGGAGGGAGAGAAAGACATACACAAACAAGAGAGGGAATGATCTCACATGTAGATCATTATTTGCTTCTAAAAGATATGTGCTTTTGAGGGACAACTGGGACAAATTTTAAAAGTCCATTCATAGTATTTTTGATGTTTAGATATGCAGTTACTCCTGTGGTATGTTAAATCATTTATGTTTTCCAAGCACACTTCATCCATATTTTTAAAATGTTTGTTTAGAGTTCAAGAATGTATTCATTTTAAATATATAATATACTTAATTCATGTGAGCATCTAGTACACATGAATGTACTTTAGCCATATTCAATCAGTTTGTGAACATATTCTGAAAACAATATTTTAATGTAAATATTCTGATGGAATGGATCAGGAATGTAGAGTGAACACAAATAGGAGATAATGCAGGATAATTTCCCCCCTAAACTCAAGTGCCTCCTTTAAATTCAGTAGCTGTGTAATTAAGAATCAGCACTTTGAAAAACACAAGTGTAGGACATACTTAAGTTGATTATTCAGAAAATACATCAGTTATATAGTCTTTGAACTTCAAATCTTATCAGTTGGGTTCTCAAGTAAAAACCTGATATATATGACCTTTGAAATTATTAGAGGTAATTATATCATAATATCCATATTTTTCTTTATTGAAACAGTAGCTCAAGACTGATAGTGGAGACAGGGAATATGCTTAGCATATGTATCTTACTCATCCCCATCTTGCACATCACTGACTGTGTACTGTTCTTCACTTGATCAAATGCAGAAACTAGAAACTAGACTGTCTCTTGACATTTTATTATTCAGTCACTTGAGGCTTCATTTGGGGAAGAATTTAAAATAAAATTGTTATTTAGAATCATAAGAACTAAAAAATTGACAGATTCTAAGACAGGGTCTAGGTCTCCATATGGAAAAACAAGCATCAAGTAGAGCATTCACTTTCTTAGAAGCCATGAAACCTCAATTCAGATGTTATAATTTGACTCTGGCTAGTGTTAGATGATTTATGATAAAAACTCATGCAAAGAAGCAGATTATCTTTGTATCTTATATATTGTAGTAAATAGAACCAGAGAATGCAAAAATAAGAACTGAAATTTATTTTTAAATACCTGATTTCAACTTTATTTTTATAATAGCAAAGTAGGGTTTAGAAATAGATTTGTACAGTCATACAAATTATGTTAGAGCTGGTTTTAGAACCTACTTCCATGCATCAGCATGTTTCACACAAATTGATGTGTGTTACAAATGTACTATATACTTTTTAAAAAGCAGACCTTTGTAATAGCATCTGGAAATTATTAGCTATTCATTCAAGGACTTAAGACTAAACAATAAGAAAATGTCTTCATATTTTATAATTCATTATGGCTTTGACTCAATTTGTTTCTATCTCTCACAGTTTATAAGTCATGCATGTGGGGTTTCAAAGAATATTTATATGTAAACTCTGTTATTAAAATAGCAGTAATGATACCTCTATAATAATAAAAATACAATATTGTGGAAAACAGAAACCCCATAAGTTTCATTCTTAATGGATCACATACCTGCTTCTGGCACTGTAACAGGATCTAAATTTGACAGAATCTGCTCCATGACATCAGGACCGTCTCCACACCTATCCCAAGTCTGTTGCATAGTCAGTTCCTGGTGATCGGCCTCCAGAACAAGCCCTTACAAATAAATGGTTATCAATTTAAGCACTATATATATGTATTTTTTCATTCTGTCAGTGTTATGAAAGGAAAGCCTGTAGGCTAGTGTGGTAATAAATGTGATACATTATAAATCCAAAAGCATTATTTCAGGAGTCTGGGGTTAGAAAAAAGGAAAGCAGGGTTTTTCAAATGTCATTACCCCTTTTCTTTCCCAAGACTGCCCTCAGACAACTTAGTGGCCCTTTTTGTACTTTTATGATTATATCTGTCGTTATACTTATCACATTAAATCAGTGATTTAAGTCTCTGACTAGATTGTGAGCTCAAGGCAGAACTCATGTCTCTAACATTTAATTTTAGGAACTAAATTTTTATTTTCTTAACCATAAAATGATTTAACTACCATTTAAAAACCACTTAAATAACCACACTAAACCAGGTATCTGTGTGCCAGTACCTTGAACTAGCCAGCTTTTACCAAGTTACCACATAAAAATATCAATCCAAGTAAACAATGGCTATCAATCATTGAGCTCTTTTCCAGACTCTATCCTTATCTAAATTTTATTCCATTGAACTGAGTCTATTCCTGTGCCAGTACCAAGCTATCGTACAAAATTTTGAATATTAAGCACCTCGAACAAAATCATTCATATTTTCTTATAGCAAGAACAAACTTTGGAATGAAACATGAATTCTATCTCCATCATTCAAATGCTCTTTGGTAAGACACAATGATCAAGCTTTAGTTTTCTCATTTATGAAGTAAGTTAATTGCACTTGGCTGCAGACTCTCTTCAAATTTCCAGCCAAATTTTAGGAAATGTTTAATATCCACCTCTAATGCTTTATTTCTTCCTTTTACCAGTGTGTCATAATGCATGATGAACACGTACCACCCCCCACCCAACACACGCAGGAAGTCTTCTTCCCTTTCTTTTTACCTTGAACCTCAAGTGTTCTTGCATCTTCTGGCTCTGGTACATGTGTAATATCCTGACTCTCAGTTGGTGGCTCCTCTTGTTGAGGTTGCTCATCAATGGGCTGCTGGGCCTAGGGGTGTGTGTGTGTGCAAATAAAACATTTATTATCAATACATTTCAATAATATCAATATAAATAACACATAGATAATGTAATCATAAATAAGTCTAGTGACATTTTTCCAGTACTGTTCTATATACTTGTTCTTAACAAAGTTATTCTTCCTACAGAGAGACTACTCCAGGAAAAGTTATCAATAAGGACTTTAGAAACTATTTTAATCTACACGGGTGGATGTGAACAATCTGTTGTTATAAGCATGAGAAAGGAGTCATTGGGCAATTTCCAGAAATCATAACAACATCCATCTTTACAACATGAGAATGTAATCCTCCTGGATCAGTGTTTCCTTCATGAGATTCAATTTTTACTTCTTATCAGCATGAAAGCCTTTCATCAGTGTATCTATACTAGTTCAAAAACATTTCCCCCAAAATATATTTCTGCTGATAGAAAAGATGAAATATTGAAGCACTCACAGCTACAGGCCCAACCAACTTGGAAAACTCTTGAGAATCTCCTCCTCCTTTAGATTCGGAACTTGGTCTTGCTTGCTCACTCATATTTCACCCTGAAATATTGAGATTTAGAAAATTCACTTAAGATGATAGCTATATCTGAATATTTCCTGGACTAATGTTAACATGTAAATTTATTTTTCATTTCGAAAATACTTTCAAGGTAAGTCCCAGGCAATTGTCCATACACTTTCTGATAACACCAAACAGGCCTTTGATTATGTGAGCACCAAGCAGGCATAGGAATCACCTTAAGGCACGTGGTGAAAGACTGAGGACTTTTCTGATGAAGTTTGGTTTCACAACTGGACTCATCATGAATGCAAGAACTTGAGTAACTACTGAACTTGTCATACACCTATTTACTGGGTACCCCCCCACACACACACCGATAAAGTTTTGTGGGAAAGCACAGGCAGGCTCATTTCTTTACTTAATGTCAACGACTGTTTTCTCAAAGTCTTTGTGATACAGACGGATGTGCCCGCACCTCCCTTGGCACTCCGCTCGGTGCCCTGCACGTCCCGGGCGCAGTTCCAGTCCCACCGCACCGGCTCTAGGCCCTTCCTCCCTTTGTCGCCGGCCGCACCCCAGCCCCAGGGCCCCAAGGAGGACTCGGGATTCTCCGTCCAGTCCCGGGGGCGTTCCCGCTGCCTCCAGGACCCAGATACGGAAACGATGCCCCCAAGACTCTCTGTCTGACCCCTGCCCTCCTCAGCCCACCACCCTCCTGGTCCAGGCCCCGGCAGGGCTTCAAGGGCCATGGCGGCCTTGCCGCCTGAGAGGAAAATGGCGACGACCTCGACGACCTTCCCTCTGGGACGCCACAGAGCCCGCTCCCCGCCCCTGCTGAAGCCCTTCGGCCCTCCCCTCACACTCACTTGTACCTCAAGTCCCGGTTGGGGTGCTCTGCGGACCTACCAGTGGGGCCTCAATTAGCAAGAAAGAATCAAGGCAGGAGGAACACAGCCGCCTCTCTCTGCTCTCCTCCCGGAACGCCGACAGCAAGGCGCATGCGCAGCAACGGTCGTGAGCTGAAATGGACATGCGACAGCAAGGCGCATGCGCAGCAACGGTCATGAGCTGAAATAGACATGCGCGGCAATGTGAATGGGCGGTAATGGACATGCGCCTGTAGTGAGCACGGTCCAAAATAGGCATGCGCAGCTATGGGCATGTGCAGGTATGAGCATGCGCCCTTTCTTGGGCTCCTGAGGTGGGAGTTGAGCTTTTCCCGCTAAAGCCACAGAGCCTTGAAACCACCGGGTCTGTCATGGACAAGAAAATGGGCTTGAAGTATGTTTTTTTCTCTCCTTTCAGTTGTTCTTATGCTTCCAGAAACTTTGTGGACAGTCTAAGTTTACCCTTAAATGGAGAATGTGTCTCCATTCAAACATGGCTATGACAGAAATATATTTTAAGTGTTTTAATACCATCTTTACACATGCTTTGACGAATCACTTCCTTCTCTGCTTCTGGGTTTTGTGTCATGCATACAAGGAATTTACTCACATTCGTAGGTTAAATACATCCACCCCTGTTTTCTTAACTTTCTTCCTGTGTTACCGTGTATAATTCCCTAGAAAGGTAAATGATTTCTCTGAATATATCTGATTATTCAATGTATGGTTCAGAAACATCCTTAAATAATGGTGATAGTATTTGGACTCAGTCCTTTGTCACATGGTGAAACATGGCAACAAAAGCACGATTCACAAAAGAAAAAAATTAATAAACTCCCTGTTGAGAGGATGAAAAGACAAGCTACAGGCTGTGAAAAAACATTTGCAAAGCACATATCTGACAAAGGGCCCATATTTAAGATATATAAAGGATGCTGAAAACAGGAAAAATACAAACAAACCCATTAGAAAATGGGAAAAAGACACAAAGAAACATTTCACAGAAGCGGACATATGGATGGCTAACAAACACATGTAAATATATTCAACATCATTGCACCCTAGAGAAGTGCAAATTAAGATAGCAGTGCTGCATGGGTATGCAAGTGTTATAACAGCTAAATAAAAATTTTAAATGAAAATACGTATCACAAATATGGGATAGTATTTGGAGAAACCAAATGTCTCATACATTGATGATGGGTACATGATAAGGAAGTCACTCTGGCAATTAGTTGGGCAGTTTCTTTAGAAAACTAAACCTACACTAAACATATAACCCAGCAATTACACTCCTGGGTCTTTATTCCAGATAAATGAAAACTTATATCCACACAAAAACTTGTACACCACTGTTCATTGCAGCTTTATTTGTAATAGCTGAACTCTGGAAACCAAAATGTCCACCAACAAGAGTATGACTAAGGAAACTGTGGTACATTCATATCATGGAATACTACTCAGCAATAAAACAGAATGAACTTTTGATGCACACAATTTATATAGACCTCAGGGGGCATTATGCTGAATGGAAGAATAATCGAATCCCAAAAGGTCACATAATGCATGACTCTTTTTATTTAAAATTTTTAATATTGATATTATTGCAGATTTCCTTCATACCCCCCTTTGCCCACCTCCATCTACCCCCACCTCCTCCTCTTTTGCATTCCTTTTTATGTAACAATCTCAAAATGAAGCAATTATAAAGATGAAGAGTAGTTCAGGGATGGTACTGGGGAGGGCTTAGGGATGGTACTGGGGAGGGCTGTAGGTATGACTACAAAGAAGTGGCTTGAGGAAGACCTTTGTGGTGATGGGACAGTTTTGCCTCTTGATTGCAATGGTAGTTACACAAAGCTACACATATGACAAAATGGCATAGAACCATAAACACACTTTGTACCAATGTCAATTTTCATATTTTGATATGGTATTACAGTTATACAAGATATAACTATCTTGGGGGATATATGAACAGTAAATATCTTGGGGGAGACTGGATAAATAGTGCATGGGACCTACCTGAACTATCTTTGTAACCTCCTGTGCATCTACAATGATATTTAAAATGTAAAAAAAAAGAAAGAAAGAAAAGCAGAACTTCTCTCTCTCTCTCTCTCTCTCTCTCTCTCTCTCTCTCTCTCTCCATCAGACCTCATGCCTCTTCTGGGATTCAATCAATAAAATGTAATGAAAGTATTTTTTAAAAACAAGCCAGAAATACTACATAGATGCTTTATAATTTATTGGTGACAAGGTAAGAGAAGAAAAGCCAAAACCCAAAGAGGAAAAATGATGTCTTGCACCAAAGGAACAATATTATGGAGAGCATAGAACCATTGCTATCTAGGTGCTCTTGCCATGGAGGAACTGCTCTCGGTCTGCCCCAAAGTATTCCTAAAAGTACTAAAGGAAAGATTGCTATGTTCCTGGTGCTGGATTGACCTGCGAGCTGATAAGAGTCTTTGTCATAGGCTAGATCCTTTTACTCCTTCTATGTTCCCAAAAAGATTCCACCTAAGGGGTTGGCAATGTTGGCACTCATGACCCCATCTATTCTGATCTTCCTTTGCCGGAGGGTGAAAGTGTTAGATTTAATCTGCCTATTCTTTTAGGAACCTCTGAAACATCCTTTTGCTTTTTTGCTGCCTCTGTTTTTGTCCCTTCTCCTCTCTTTCCTTTTCCCTTTCTTGTCAAAGAGGGGGTTGGATAGTACCAGAGTTGAGCGTCAAATTATTGAGTTCCTGTGTTAGTTTATCACAGGAGGAAGAATGAGAGATTGCTTCCCTCCTAGTTGAGATCCCAGAAGTGCTGCCCTTATATTTCAGGCAGTAGCAGCATTCACATTTGAATCTGTTCTGATCTATATCATGTGAAGAAGAGGTTTTTGCTTTTCTGTCAGTTTGATAAGGTGCCACGGACTTGATATATTTCCGTCTGGTGCGTTCCACTAACTTTTTTCCCTTTTTCTTCTGAGGTACCCTTGAACTTCCCCACTGCTGCTCTTCTTCCATTCTCTCAAAACAAAGAAATATAAAAAATATATATTAGAAACTCAAAGAGTATATTTAAAACATGTCTTGTCATATATTATTCTTAGAACACCTACTAGCAAACACACATACACACATTTCAGAGAGTCCCTGCAAATTACAGCAACTGAAATCTATATTTCAAATTTATCTCTTTGGCCATTTCTTTTGATGACCATCAAATACCAACGTAAGAAAAAAATTTAGTCTGATAATTTGGAATATTGGCTCTAAACCAATTTCCTCCCTACTGGATTACACATGCCACAAGAAACCCCAGGATTACAGTTCAAGTGGAGAGTGCAGATCACACTTTCTTTCTCTTTCTCCACTCCCCCCATCCCATTTAAATGATTATTTGGTTCTTATCCCCCCCTTTATTCTGTTAGTTTAGTGAATTGCATTGATTATTTTTTTGTGATAAGGACACCTAATATAAGACATACCCTCTTAGCAAAATTTAAAAGTATACAGTATTGTTATCTGTAGACACCGTTTTTTTGTTTGTTTGTTTGTTTTGTTTGTTTGTTTGTTTGTTTTATCCTCACCCGAGGACACTTTTTCATTCTTTGTTCAGACAGAGCAGAAGGAGAGAGAGAGAGAGAAACATCGATGTGAAAGGGACACATCGAGTGCCTGCCACCCGCACGACCAACCAGGGCCGGGGACAAACTGCAACCGAGGTACATGCCCTTAGCGGGAACCGAACCCGGGTCTCTCTGGACCGCAGGCAGACGCTCCAACCGCCGAGCCAAACCGGCCAGGGCTAGACACCGTTTTTAATATACAGATAACTGATATCTTTTGAAGCACCAGTTCACAAAAAGCCTGCTCTTTAACTTAAAAAACAAACAAACAAACAAAAAACAAAAAAAACAAAAACAAATTAATTCTCTTTCCACCAACTTTGTGTAATGTAATATGAGGCAGCCCTATCTCAACAGAGACCTTGAGATTCTCCAGCTCTATGAATAAATTTACTCCTGATCCTCGGAAGTAAGGTGTTAAGGACAATGACATATTTACACTGCCTCTTGTTCGGGCAGGAAGAACAGAAACAATAAAAGTGAGTGCTGTTAACTTCTCATAACCCCTCCTTTCCTCAGCTACAGTCACTCTCACTCCAGATGGAATAAAACTCCCAAGATTCCTAGAAAAAAATATGTCCTTAATTTGTCCACTACCTTGGGTTTCCTGCACCAACTCACATCCCTTTTTTAAGACAAGTAAAAACTTTAGAGGAGAGAAAGGAACCTAAAGAGAAAGTTATTGGCCACAGATCCAGTTTGGTACGTGATTTCCCATGTTTTACTCTTCCAACCTTTGACAATATTTCTCTCTAATCCAATCCTAAACATATTTACTGAGTGCCTGTTGCATGACCTCCCTTGTACCAGGTGATATAGAGATATGTAACAGATTGAGGAAGCTGAGGCTTAATAGCAGAATTACTTAAGTATCAGGGCCAGCACTGGAATTCACATGTATTCTATATTATGCTAAAGCTGATGTCAATGAAAATTGGGAATGTCAGAGTAAAATTGGGCTGAGAATGGAGAGAAAGTGATGGTCACGTCATGGGGGAGGGGGCATTGAATTTCATGGTAAGAGCAGCAACAAAGGCACAGACCATCTTACATAGTCTGAAACATTCTCCATCCAGCAAGTAGTTGCAATTGCAATGGCTCTGGGGGTAGAACTGAGCATGAGCTCAACTGATCCATACAATATAAGGAGTTATATATTTATAATTCCTAGATATGGACACGTGATGGTGGGAGCTCAGCATCTAGGTGAAGGGGTTAATGCATGGAAGAGCAAGTGAGAACACTGTAACAGAGAAAGAAGAAGCTGTCGGCAAGACTCTCTATCTCTTAGAACCTGATTGCTCTCTGTAAATTAAGGATAATGACCCACCATTCCCAGGTATGTTGTTTATGAGTAATTAGCACAGAGCCTGTCCATTGTAAGCTTCTTATTTGTAATTGGTTTTTTTTTTTCTTTTAAAGCTATTGTATGTATGTGTCAATTTTTTTTATTCATTCATCTGTTGATGGACACTTAGGTTATTACCTGCACCTGTTTTAAAGTTATGCTTTAGATTTTGCACAAATGACAACTCCTTAATATCACATATCCAGTCAAT